TCTCTTCAGTTTCATTTGTCTGCATTCTAAAGCGGCCAATCGATTTTCGAATAGAACATGGAATCTTCTAGCATACACAGTGATCAAGAATGACATCGCTGACTGCAAAAGCCTAATGTCATGAGCAAACTTTGATGCAAATTTCATAAGGTATACAATTATGTGAACTGTGCAAAAAGGCATGATAATAATAAACAAGGCTGGCTATTTTGGCATTGAGGAGGTTGACTAGATTATTTACATAAAATTCAAAGCGAATCGCACATCTCATGCCCTCATTTGAATGTTCGCTTTATCATGATTTGGTGATTTGCCGTCTTTCAGACCAATCTCTACTGCATAGAAAATACAAAGTGACTTGTTGTTAACTGAATGCGCTTAATAAAAGCTCGAAGGGGAAAAGTGCTGAATGCACTTTTTCCCTCACCTTCCGCAGAACTCATTTGCACTAATGCGCTTGCAATGCCTTCAGAGCGGGCAACCGCAAAGACAAGTGAGTGAAGTTGTTGGGCAGCTGACAGGGATGGCATGCAGTTGCACAGTTTAAAAAGAGATCAAAGACAGAGTTATTTCTGCACACAGTTTGGGTTGGGCTTGCAAACTGAAGCGAATCTAGCAACACTTGTTATAAGAAGCCCTACATCTAGCACCGAGGGCTTTTTTGTCCACATGCTTTGTTCTTGTTTTGTTTTTGCTTTGAATTGAAAAGTTTTTTTTCCTTCGCAAGCTTTTGCCTTGTCTCTGCTAGAATCTTCTCCCACCCTGTCTTTTAGCCTTCGTATCATGCTCCCCATGAGACCCTGATGCTTCTTGCAAAAGTGAATGAAAAAGACAAACAAACAACAATGCTGACTGCAACGGGAGTGTTTGTTTTATTTATTTAACAACACTGTAGGCCTTTCTACAGGCCCATATTTGAAATGGTTGAAAGAAGCAAAAATGAGCATGAGAATAGTAGAAATGAACAAACGTGTAACTTGGACAGCAAAACAAAACGTAGCTTGGACAGGAACCATTTTAGCAAGCAACATAAACTTTTCGCTCCCGTGTAAGAAAAGAGAATGCTTATGCCAATCGTAACATTAGTCATACAATGCAAATGCTTTTATAAAAAATAGATTCAGTAAATAACACTCTTCAGAAAATAACAAAAATGACATCAGAGATCAAGAATTACCACATTGTGGCACAAGCTCCGGCAGACATTAACATTGCGGAGTACATGCTTATGTACTATCAAAAAAGGCTTCCAGTTTTATGATAAATTCATCCACGGATTCACACTCAACAATACCATTTGGTAATGCATTCCAAGTTTCAATAGCCTGTGGAAAGAGTGAATATTTAAACATGTCACATTTGGTATGTTGAGGCCTGATGTGTTTAATGTGATAAGATCTGATGAAGTGGCAGTGCAGTGGCTGTGGGTAATCTTGTTTGATTATGTTCATGTCGTCATGGTAACGCATTGAACCAAACTTTATAGCAGGCACGCAAGGTATTGCAGGCACGCAAGGGTAGGCAATGCTGATTGATTTCTAAATGTCATCACATTTTGGTGTTGAGAGTACTTTGAATACATAAATCTTAATGCTTTATTTTGTGTACTGTGTAGTTGTAGAAATTCTTTCTTGTGTGGGTTCCACACAATACTACTATATTCAAGAATCGTCTTCACTAGTATTTTATAGGCTGTTAATTTCACATGCAATGGAGCCGCAGACAGTTCTCTATGCAAGAAACCTATTGTTTGGAAAGCCTTAGTGCCAGTGTTTTCAATGTGAACATTCCACCTCGTGACTCTTGTAAAGATCGTGCACAGATACTTAACCAAGTCTGTTCCATTAGTTTATAACTGAATATAATAATCGTCTTCCTATGAGTTATGATCATGCATTTAGTTTTTTGACATTAATTTCCATTCCCCACCTACCACACCAATGAGTGATCTTGTTGAGTGTATTATTTAATTTAAGCTGATCGTTGACTCCTTACGCGCAAGTGTAACTAACCAAGTCTTTGGCGAAGGGCCATAATTTTACTCCCTCTTTTGTGCAATCAGTGAAGTCGTTGACCTAAAAGAGTAATAACAGTGGTGTCAGTGTAGATGAGAACATATTGGGCTCATCAGAGTCATAAATAAATAAATAAATAAATAAATAATACTGAGTTCACTTTAATAAATATGCTACTATTCAATCTAAGCAAGGAACAGCTATACTATATACTTAAAGGGCTAATGAAGTCATTGGGGAAGGGCCATAATTTTACTCCCTCTTCTGTGCAATCAGTGAAGTTGTTGACCTAGAAGAGTAATAACAGTGGTGCCAGTGTAGATGAGAACATCTTGAGCTCATCAGAGTCATAATACTGATTTCACTTTAATAAATATGCTACTATTCAATCTAAGGAAGGAACAGCTATACTATATACTTGAAGGGCCAGTAAACAACCCCAAGGTCCAAATATTGTTATAAAGAAAAATATGTGCACTTTTGCTTCGTGAACATGCTGCCACAAGAATTTTGTGAATACGTGCTGTAATGAAGAAGTTACAGGGGTCAGAACATTGGTTTCAGCTGATTTCTAATTTTCGCGCGGCCTCACCACCAATTTTCCTCATATGGAGGGGAAGGCGTAGCCCGTCGTCCTGACTCCGCCCACAAAGCAACGCTTTTTCTCTGTGTTGCTCATCTTGAGGGCAAAGCACGCGCGTGCAAGAGCTACGCTGAGCTGTAGTTCAGCGAGCAATGTATGTGCGACAACTGCGAGGCCAAAACTGTATTCTCGCAGTGCCAAGAAACAAGGGGCAGTTTTGTAGCTGTAACTTCACTACTGCTTGTTGAGACCTGGTTTAAACAAATTGGCAAGATGAGTGCCGCCTCAAGTCACCGATCGCCCTCTTTGTGCTTGGAAGGAGGATTGGTCGTCAGGCACAGAAAAAGATGTTACAGTGCGCAGCCCTGTAATATTCAGAAAATGTGACCGCTGCGACCTACTCTACGAATCGCCGAGCTTGTTTGGGTGGTGTAAAAACATTTGGACCCTTTGGACCCTGTTGACTGGCCCTTTAAAAAAATGTGCATTGCAACTCATGAGGAGGAAACATTTTTGGTAGCATGTCATCCCATCTAATAGTTTAGCTATTAATTTAGCTATTAGATGGGATGACATGCTACCAAAAATGTTGTTCTCATTAAAATATATGATTCAGCAATAGACAATGCTACATACAAAAAGCTGATGAGTTCATGCTGAAACGACAAAAGAAGAAAAGAAAGCTTAAAAACAATGTATTTTATCTGCAAATAATGGAGAAAATGGGTACTTAAGGCACTAAAACAGCACTTAAGATATAGTCTGAAAGTAGTTATGGAGCCAACTCGAAATTATCATTACCAGACATGGTCAAAAGTTGCCAGTTTGGCACAATGCAGCCACAAATGGTAATGCTGCTGTGTAGGCTTGCTTTAGTGGAGCACTCTAAACATTTAAGCCATCCGGTGCTCTTTACCGGGTAATGAAGTTGCATGGTACACAGGCCACTAGCATTTCATCACCATAGTGTTTGAACCTGCAATCTCTAGGTCAGAAGCTAGGCGCCGTATTATTGAGGCGGGTGTTTTAAAGGCGGTAGTCTTTCTTGAGGACCTTCGACGCAAAAATTTTGGTCTGTCTGTCTGTACGTTTGTCTGTTTATTCACTTTTAAGGGCACCGGGTACTTGAAACAGCCGACCCCAGCCGCAGCGCCCACCATTGTTGCTCAAGCTTTAGCCTTCATACTTGTGCGATTGTCAATTAAAAAGCAATCATTGCGCATATCTGAGGTACCATAACAACACGTCGATGTTTTTTATGTGTGCCTTTATACTAGAGAAGGCACACACAAGTAATTCTAAGGACCTTAGCATTAAACACACTGCGCTGACAATGCAACGTGGTGCTCAAAAAGGCAAGTGTTACCAACGCTTTGCTGAAACGACACGGTGGTGGCACCTTCTCGTCGCTTCGCGTTGTACACTTTATCGCCTCCGAGAATGGCATGCAACTTTCTCCGCAGGCGCGCATGCCTTCCTTTGTTTTCGAAGATAACTGGCAGATGGCACTCGCGGCTAACGTGCCTCGAGCGCTCGTTCGCCTCCGCTACACGCTCAAGGCACTCTAACGCAGCGCCTCCAGAATACCATTCATTAATTTTTTTGTGCAGAACATCAAATAAATGTTTTGTTCACTCTCTGCACCCGCAAGACTATCATCTTTCGATGACATTTGCAGATAACATGCAGATACGGGGCCAATTTTTGTAACTTCATATAAGCTTTATGAAATGGAAAGCTATTTTTTTCTTGCAGTCAGAAAACTATCGTGTGACTTCTGAAATTCTACATAATTCCTGTCATTACAGGCTAGCTTTAGCATGGTAATGTTTGAAACAGACTTCTATGGATGTTACTGTGGTGTTTTGCCAAAAACATCCAAAATCCACTTCTCGAAATTATCAAGTTTTTCTTGTATGATAGTTTACCAGCCCACACCAAGAGAAGGAGTCTCAGAAGGTCAGGACTACTGGCAAGATTTTTCATGGGGCTCCAGCATCTTAACTGGCAACCTGGGAAATCTGTCTTGAGAAATGTAGATAGTCTCAACTCTCATGTGGGTTATAGTATATATCAGTGATACCCACAATGACATAAAGTGAAACTTGTGAGAAATTCTCCACTTGTAAGGCAAGAAAATATTTATTGTTTCCATATTTGCAAGATGTTTCAGCGTGCGAACAAAGGAAAAAGGACAGGGTAGACAGAAAGAGCGCTCTTTCTGTCTACCCTGTCCTTTTTCCTTTGTTCGCACACTGAAACATCTTGCAAATATGACTACGCACCAACTAGCCCAAGCTTCCACTCTTGTGATTTATTGTTTCAGTAAAAGTGATTGCCCCACTTGTCAAAACGCTGGCCCCCGCATCTGCTCACATTTTTTCTGCTGTTTCTGTTTGCAGACCCAAACACTCTTAGCTCCCACCAGCTGATGGAACTCGTGCGAGCCATTTGCCAAAGGGCCACTGAGGGCATACAGAATGCCGAGCCATCAGCACAGCTGTGCCTCTCCATTATTGCGGTAACCTGCATTGCTGCCTACGCTCTCATTCTAGGAACTTGACAGCTTTATTTCATTACATGTGGTATGTTCCATATAAAAGGTGTTAGGTTGTATTTCCATTCAGAGAGATGCAACTAAAAAAAATATCCAAATACATTTTGCTCTTGAATGAAACACTCTGACTTGCTTATTCAAGTGGGAGGCATCTGTTTGCCTATGCACTACGAGGCTGGTGTGATGTTAACATGGGTTCAGGATTCGCTCCAGAAAGAATAACGCAGCACGCAGGTGGACAAACACGCGTAAGACACCTTTACAGACACAACAGGTCTCAACGAATAGAGAAAAACGGTTAATTTCGACATGAGGGCTGTTACGCGAAATAGTCAAGCAGTAGCGTACAGTTTGTTGTCAGAGCCGATGAAGTTGCCGAGTTGAAGGCATCGTGCGTAGACCGTCTGTCCAATGCCGTAGCTCGCTGTTTGGTCTGGCCGCGTTAAGTCAAGAAGGTCCACTCTGTGGTCGTTGATGCCGGGACTCTGCGCCCAAGGCACCCGCTCCACGGTGGACGCCCTCGGCCTGTGCGAGCTCGTGGGCCGAACCCTGCGTGTGCCCGTCTGCCCACAGCGTCAAGACCTTGGCCTGGCCTCGTGCACGTTCCCTGGCCCGATCTCCTCGTAGCGGAACAGGTGGGAGCGCTCTAAGTCGAGGCAGCAGGAGGTAGGGCTCCGGGTTCTCCCATGGACTGGACGCCCAGCGAAAGAGAGCCCAGCCTTGCAATTCCGACTCTCGTGCACGGCCTACACAAGTCTCAAGACACGCGGCGCACACGATCGCTGTCCTCTTCGCCACCGCACGGCACATATGCGATTCGCCCACACACGGCGCACACATTCAAAAGGCCACACAAGTCGCCATTGCACAACACATACGCGATTCGCCCCCGCACGGCGCACACATTCAAAAGGCCACACAAGTCGCCACCGCACGGCGTACTGTTTTGTTTTTGCACATTTCAACCCGCGCGCACCATATATTATGACACCTGGATTAGCTTGTGGCAGTCTCCAATGGGGCTCAAATGGTATTGTGACAGGGGTGTTTGATGTTATTTTAGAAGCCATGCACTTTGTGGTATTGATTATATTGCTTTCACATTTACAGTTAAATCTCTTTATAAGAGGTATGCCCTGGGCAGCAATTTTTGTCTTTATATGAGATGTATTTTATATGCAGGGTACCTCGAATGCATTTTTTTTATCAACCCATTTTCTTATCAACCATTTTCTTACATGCATTGTATTTACTCGATTATAAGCAACCCTCTTTTTTTTTCATGATTGCAATATTAAAAGTTAGGGGGGTGCTTAGATTCAAGAAATCGATAAATGATTGCACAGCCCAATTCCCTTTTGGGACAACTTATCAACGTGGTTGATGCAAGAAATTGCATCTTAATTCAAAGACATTAAAAGGAAAAATAGATGCACACAATGAAACCACCACTCATGTAGCAAATCAGTCGCTATCACTGCTGCTCGAGTCCGTTGCACCACTCGAGTCTGGCGTTCCATTCGAGCCGTCACTCTCGGGGTCCCACAGCAGATCATCTTCAGTGCCGTCCAAGTTGTTCATGATGCAAGACTTCTTGAATGAATGGTAATAAGGGCTGCAGCGCGAGCACAAAGGTGCTAGAAGAAATAGACGAAAGGCGAAGCAAAGAAAGCAAAGAGGACAACACGAGCGCTGACTACCAACTGAATTTTATTATTCGCAGCACACATGATAATATATACAACAGGCAACCTTTTAACAGCAAACGTGAGCGACGTGACATATTCTGGGGAATGGTCTGATAAAAAGAAGGTACAATGATAAAATGGCTAACCCTTATCTAAAAGCGCAAACTCTTTGTCATGCAAGGCCACCGAAGGTTGGCTCATGCATCCGTCACCATGTTTTCTAATAAATTACGCTTCAGCTAGTTCACGAGTTAACTTGTCCATGTGGCGTGACTGCGGGATACGCCGAAGTTCAAGCCTTCAGCACCAACGACCTGCATGGGACCATCCGAGCGGTCGTACGTAAAGAGCTGCGTAAGACGTTTCTGGAATCGCAGCCTAGAGTGGACTCTATCACTGACGCTGTAGTCAAGAAGTCCAGCAAGCGCTTGGAATCCCCTAAGCATTGCAGCCTGAAGCAGAAGCAATGAGCTACACCGCTGCAGTGCACCACAGTGCTCCTCTACATTATCGTCAGAACACTGCCCCGTCGCAGTTCTTCCGCCAGGCACCGCCACCACCACCGTGGACGCCGTACCGCCCACCGCCCGGCCAGCGCTATGCTTCGGGGAAGACTGTTGTCTGGCGCGCCCCTGACCACCGCCCACTGTGCTTCCACTGCGGTGAAGCCAGGCACACGTACCGCAGCTGCCAGTATGGCCAGATGGAACTACATGGTTTCGCCATCGACGCACCAGGTCTGTAGCAGGGTGAAAAACCATGTGAAATCGTCGAATGTCTTGCCGGAGCGCGAGTACACCTTGAGGATCATCTCGTTCACCCTCACCAGGCCGCTACATGCCACCGCAGCGTCCGCAGTACACTAGCACAAACAGGGGCCGGTCGCCTAGCTCGTATCGGGAAAACTAAGGGCAGCAACCGATGGAGGTGGGGTTGCTGAGTGACGAACTGCCGAAGATCCTCCTTCTCCGCCACCGACGGCGACGCACAAGAGCCTCGAAAACGTGCCGGTTTCCAAAGGCAGCTCCAACGTCGATACTTCGGGACCAGCGGAATACCTGACGACGCAACGTTGAAGCAGTGGTACAAATCGTCGTAGCCATAATCTGACGCCATGACCCAACTGCAACACAAGGCAATGAACTTGAGACCTCGGCGTTTTCATCGACGACCACAGCGTCACAGCTCTCGTTGACACCGGAGCCGACTATTTTGTCATCAGTGGGACGTTCGCCATGAAGTTGAAGAAAGTTAGGACAGCCTGGGAAGGCTACAAATTTCATACTGCTGGAGGTCACCTAGTTACGCCTTCAGGAATCTGTACAGCTAGAGTCACCAATAATAACAAGATTTACACTACAGCATTGCACGAGAGATGTAATTCTCTGTGTGGGCTTCTTAAGCCTGATAAGACAGATGCTTGGGCTAGTTAGTGATTGGGAATCAACATATTTGCGCAGCGCAAGACTACGAGTAGTTACGACGTAACTACAGAAGAGGCAAAAACAGAAAGAGCGCTGACTTCAACTGAAATTTTATTGTATAACTGTCAGTTCAAGCACATGAATAAACAGAAAGGAAGAGAGGACAAGCGTTGGAATTATATACCCATGACAGAACATCACCGTGCAATCGCGCAACCTATTGCATCACAGCAAGGCAATCATCATCTTATTATGTGGTTACAACACCACAGCTCAGCACAAATTTATGATCTATTGTGTCAAAGCCAGAAACTCGATTTCTTTTTTAGAGTAAGAGAAGGCATGCTGATACATCGATCACCCAGCATTTGCATTTCATTGGCCTCCATAATCTCTCATGTTAGCTGGTGATGGTGTTTAGCTACAACAGTGCACTTTTTGTATTCCGGTCTGCAAGCACAATCTCTACAATGGATGCCCAAGTGACCTTGCGCAGCTGAGTATACATTGTAATGATGCTCCTTTAAACGCTCATTCAGGCACCGGCCTGTTTGCCCAACATATATCTTGCCGCATCACAACGGGACCAAATAAACGACGGCTATCGCACATGCTACGAATAGCCTTCTATGTTTGATTGTGCAGCTACCCATTCATGCGGAATGCGCATTCACCCGTTTGCAGAGCAATTTACGCGTCACTAGAGCAATAGCTGAGCTGCGAGGAGGGAACGGAGCAGTGATGCTCACGAACTTCAGCAACGAGTACAAGCATGTGAGCGAAGGCACAATGGTTGCCCTCATCAAAGAATTACTGGAAGTCGGAAATGCTTTCGCCCTCATGGATTCCGCCGAATTTACTCCGATGATTGAAACCTTTCAACCAGCTTTCAACGTTGATCTGAGCCTTCCGACGCATGAACAAGAGCAGCTCAAAAACCTGCTGCTGAAATACAGGAACTGCTTTTCCTCATCGAGAATTTGGCAGACCCCTGTCGCGAAACATCGAATTGTAATAGAAGAAAATGCCAGGCCACTCCGTTAGAGTCCTTACAGAGTTTCGACGCGAGAACGCAAGTCAATAAAGACACAAGTTGATGAAATGCTCCGCGACGACATTATCCAGCCTTCAAAGAGCCCGTGGGTGTCACCGGTGGTGTAAGTGAAAAAATATATATATATATGGAACGTACAATATGTATAGTTAGAGGTGGTAGATATAGTAAAAGGTGGCTTGATGGCAATTCAACACAGCTATAGTCACCTAGTGTCGACTTTGGACATTACATCTACCCCTTCTTAAGTGTATATACTTGCTTACATATTTCCTAAGCATATATACTTGCTTATTCAAGTGGGAGGCATCTACTTGCCTGCGCCTTACGAGCCTGGATTAGCTTGTGGCAGTCTCCACTGCTTTCCACATATAAGCTACAGGTTCCACATATAGGCTAAAGGTTTCCTTTTGCGTATGAGCCGCGTTGTGCTCAAAATGTTGTTGTTGGTTTCGAGTCAGGTGTGGTCACCCTTGCAACTGTTCTTGAGATAGTTTGTAGAATTGAAGCTGGACAGGCGGCGGTTTTAGACGAGTGGAGAGGGCTTCAGGCTAACAGGAAGCAACTGATGATGAAATCAAACTGCTTACCGATAGAGTTAATAGCTTTGAAACTACCCTCATTTTTCCTGGTGCCGCAGAGCCTGGCGCAGCTAGTTTACCGCTGTGTAACATAGCTGACCAACTGAGTATTATCACTGTGAGGTGGGAGGACACCGTGAATAGGCTGTGGCAGAACAACTTGCTTTTCAGTATTGACGATGACCACCCGGAAGATTGGGCCAACACTGAACAAAAC